CCTTGTTGCCCTCATTCTCATTCATGTTCACGATGACCCCTGAGCCCAGCCTTCAGGCTGAGCCACGATGCACAGGAGTTCGCTGAGACTCAAAGCAAGTGGTGAGGTCCCTCAGTGAGTAAGGGGGAGGGGTGGTCGGACAACCCAGGAAGCCAGGCTTTCCTTTGCATGAGAACCTGCTTCAAATGCAGATAGAAGACAAGGGAGTTCCAAGAACCGCAAACAACCAAGGAACTCTCATATTCTTTCTTACTCACGTTACTTCCCTGTCTTAGCCGATCACATCTGCTAGAACTCATGACACCAAGGAAAGAGACAGGGACTGTGATCCAGAGTTGCCTCCCCCTGAGTCCTCCCTTACTCACCTCTAAGTTGAAGGAAGAGAGTGTCGGTAGAAGGTACATGTATTGGGAAGTGAAATAAAAACCGCTGAGCTGGTATTCTGCAGCATTTCCACTCTGCTGGTAAGAACAAAACACGTATGCGTGTGTGAGCTACAAAATAGGAGTTGTGTAGTTTTGATGTTTGTACATACGAGTTGAATGCTTTTATACTTATATTTAAGACTGGCATGCACCCTATAAAGATGAATGGTAAAACTCATGCTAATCATTTAAAATTTAATTTTCTTTATTCATAATGGCATTAAATAAAAAATTTAAAAACACCATGACAAGTCAACAGAAAGACTATGGAAGAAAGGAAAAAACTTTATATTTTAATACCTCTAATAGAATGTTATTTTCCGCTTTTTGAATAAGTTCTGCCTTTTCATTTTGTTCTGGGTCTTGCAAATTATATAGCTGGCCCTGATTGCTCCAGAGCTGTCTGCTTCTTGACCTCGCTAGGTCATTAAGAGATGGGGTTTGGGAAGAAAGAAAGGGGAGGGGAGGCAGTGAGGAACCATTCAGCCCTTTCCCTCCTGAGGCCCTCTTTATTGTTTTAATAAAAGTCTTTTCTGCCTTATTCTAAAATTATTTCAATAACAGTAATTTCTATCAGTTTCCCAACCAAAGAATGGCTCCAATATTCCCCTTTGCTTCTGATTTTCTAAATACACATGAACTTAAATCCTCTTTGCTATCGTACCTCCTATAGAGTGAGTTCAAGAGCTTGTGTTCAATCATCTACCTTCAAAACTGCTTCTTTTTCATTCCATTTTTAATCCCATAATTTGAGGTCACTAAAAATATTTGACACATATCCTGCGGAGTTTGATCTTCTCTCTCTCCCTTTTCTCTTGTGTTCTGGTTTCTTTCTCATTTATTCTTAGGTGCACAGAACTGCAGTCAGGATCCAGGCTTTGTAGATGTCCTGTCGATTGCTTCTAAGGGGGAAAAAATGAGTCACATTGTTAATGCTCTTTAAAGTTCTCTTAAGAGGCCATAGCCAACCAAGATACCAATAACGTTTTACCTCTACCTTCAGCTCTGGTTGCTTTTCATCACCTTTAAGTAAATCTTTTGATTTTAGCATAACCTCAGCCTGGCCTTTTCAGTTCCTTTGATCCCTAACCTCACACCATCTAATTCCCAGATTCTTAGCATCAGAAAGTGTTAAGACCTACATCCTGCTCTGATTTCCTTTATCTGTATCCTAACAGAAGCTGTAAGATCTCAGGACAGTCCTCGCACCTACACCTTGCAGGTGGGCCCTGACGGCTTCTGCCCTGTTTTCAACATTTCAGAAGCACTGAGTCACTTGTAGTTCTTCAAACGTGTCTCTGGTTTCAGGCCTCCTTACCTTTCTCATGTTGGTCCTATCTGGAATCCCTTCCCATCTTCTTCACCTAGATAATTACTTCTCAAGCTTTAAGCATCGTCTCAGGCATTACCTCCTCCAGAAGCCTTTCCTGTTCCTTCAGAAGGTGAGTTAGGACCCTCGTTAGGGCCCATGCTAACCTGGGTACATGCTATGTCATACTGAAATCATCTGCTTATATGATTGCCTCAAGACCACACTGCAGTGTCCTTGAGGGCAGGGATGTATCTTTTATTTGCTGCAAGTTATATAGTCCTGGATGCACAGCAGGTATTCAGCACATACTCTTTGCCTGAATTAAAATGAACTGAATCAGATGTGCTCTAATCTAATATGTGACATCTCTTCTGGATGTTTTTTATGTGGTCCTAACCCAGAGAACACTGATAGAAATTATATGCACCAGCATTATTCTCTTGGGACTTTTAAAGTCATAGAATCTTAAAATTAGGAAGAACCCCAGAATATCTCACTAAATACAGGAATCCCCTTTACAAAGCTTTGGCCACTAATTATCCATTTTATTTTATCCTTTAATTTCACTTTATTCTTTTAACCAGGTTTGAAGGAAGGGGATGATTGAGGAAGAGATAGCTTCATATGTTCTTTCTACCCAAAGCCAGTCACTAATATAAACTCTCTTTTTTAGGGACACATTGTGATCAGGGATGAGCTACTCAAGTCAGAAGTAGGGGAAAGGGCACCAGAAATTTTTGCTACACCTAGGTTTGGGCAAATCTTTTCCCGAGAATGTTACAAAGAAGATTCCACAAAATTTCCAGGTATCCAAGAGTTCTAATATTAGCACAGCTAAAGATAAGCCATGTAGAGAGCAATTTTGGGTCCTCTTCATGAGGTTTAGCTGGAATTTGGATTTCTCGGTCCTTCTTCAATTCCTTCCTTCTTGGGAAGGTTAACTGCCTGGGTTGTTATTTTCGTCAACGTCCTGCATCAGTTACAAGATTGACGTCTGTCCTTTTTAGACTAGAGTAGGTACACTGGATTCCAAGAAACAACTTCCAGGTTTTTTAGGTTTTCCAGTAACGGTATCTTCTTGTTATCTGTCACATCTGTCTTCAGGTAAACACCAAGACATTAGTCCTCTGGATGTTCATCCTCTGGTGGTGATGAAAGCCAGCCTTGATGGTCAGATTGGAGATGGATAGCTTGTCCACCAGTCTAGGGCCCGGGCCAGGAACCTGACACATGAGTTTTCCTTCATGTCCTGCTGTCAGCTCTTTAGGAGGGTCAAGAGTCTCTAACCGGGTTCTGTCTCTCCAGTGACTCCCTCTACTGCTGATGCAGCCAGTGCCGACCTGACTTTGCCAGCTTATTTTGAGAGTCAGAGTTTAAAAATATACGCAGAGTTAAAGTGTCATGGAGGTGAAAAACCATCGTGTTCACTCTTCTTTCCATGCTGAGACTTCATTGTTCAGTCCCTTTGCAGTATAAGCTGGTTAGCCCGATGGGGTGGAGCAGAGAAGGGCAGTGAGAGACGAGAGGAGGTGTCCTCAACAGAAAAAGAAAAGGTGATCTCAACAGAGTTGACTTGTTCTTCTATGTGCTGATTTAGACATCGTCTTAACCAGAGAGGGTCTTTATTGGATTCAGGATGTTTTTCCCCGAAAAGAAGATGAAATGCTAAATTAGAAAACCAGGACAGTGGGATAGAAACTTCTAACCTAGGATTGACACTGTGGATTACTTCTCCCTCCCCATTTTTGTCCTGTAAGAGTTAGAATTGCCCCACAATGGACAATGGAGCCGAACTGCTTCTGAGTGGTTCTGTTGGGCCCATGGCACACTGTTCCCTCACTTGTGGCCTGTGGCATTGTGTCCACAGTGGAATTCCTGCTCCTGCAGTCCCGGGGGTCATCAGGACAACCTTGTCTTCCTCCGCTAACGTAACCAAGGCTTCATCAGGGAGCCAGGATGGCGGAGGCCTGGATTGTTTTCTTACTTTATTTTTAATGTTCCTCCTAGGCTCCAGACTCACTGGAGACATCCTGACACGGACTGCATTGCCCAGCACAATGCAATGCCCTTTACCTAGTAAAAGAGTGAGTCTCATAAAGGTGCTGCCTTCCCCCCAGAACAAACAGCGGAAATGCATCAGGGAGCTCAGCTGCAGACAGAATGCACATCTCGAAGCAGGAGCCACCACGGGATTCCTCAGATGAAAGCCAATTTCAATGAACATTGTGTTTCAGAGCCTACTTCCTCTCGCTCTGTAAGAGCTGCAGGAGGAACATCCCACTTGCGTCTGCTGACACAAAAGAATGCTGTGGCTGGGAGATCTTATCAAGCCTTCCTGTGCCACAGTAACAGAGCGCCAGTTGTGTCTTGTAAGAATTGCTCATTGTTTCTTGGGGACGACTGGCTCCTTTGGGTGGGATCTGATGGCATCTCGTGGAGTGGAGGTAGGTGGTGCTGGGAGGTCAGCCAGCCACGTGACCCAGCTTGCTGGCTTCGGGGAAGTCAGATAGAGGAGCAAACTTCAGCCAGGTCTGTTGAACAGCTAAACACTTAAAGCTAAACTGTTGAAATATGCATATGCTGTTTATTTTCTAGCATCTTCAACTGTAAAGTTAAGGACAAAATGGAGAAGTGATGGTCAGGGTTTCTCTGCTGGTAGAAGCTGTTTCTTCTCTTTTAATCAGTTCACCTAAAGCTGCTTGATTCTGATAAAATGGAAAAGAATAAAGGAGAAATGTTTTGAAACAGAAACGTGTGGATTTAAAACCATCTCTGGAGAATTTAGATGCTAATTAATAAACACTTTAGTGTTTATGAAATAAACCTCAAAAATATATACTTGTTTTATGAGGATGAACCTCAGGTTTAAAATCATCACATTATATTTAAAAGTGTAAGTTAACAACATTGGATTAATTAAATTTGGCCAATTCCAAAGGAAATAATGTCTCCTTTGCTTAGACAGTTGATGGCTTCCCAGGTTGGGCCATGCCTAATAGGAGAATTGGTGGCTACCTGTTTAGCTCTATAGAGAATAGAATTAGGATTTTCTTCTCTTTGCTCTTCGTCTTTCTAAAGGCTACTGCAAGGGCCAGCCTGGTAGCCAAGTGGTTAAGTTCGCGCGCTCCACATCGGCAGCCCAGGGTTTCACCGGTTCAGATCCTGGGCATGGACCTAGCACTGCTCATCAAGCCATGCTGAGGTGGCGTCCCACATAGCAGAGCCAGAAGGACCTACAACGAGAATATACAACTATGTACTGGGGGCTTTGAGGAGAAGAAGAAAAAAGACAAGAGAGAGGGAAGATTGGCAACAGTGTCAGCTCAGGTGCCAATCTTAAAAATAAATAAATAAGTAAAGGCCGCTGCAGTAATTAGTACAAGTAAGAAATATTTAACTGGCATTAAGACATGCCAAGGAAAAAGAGTGGCCTTGAGTTTCCTATAAGGACAATGCTTGAGATTAACATTTGCAGTCCCTCCCTCCCATAATTCCATGTAGCCCTTTCTGAAATGCCCTTTGCCCTAAACGTACTCTTATTGAGTTATTTCAACAAAAAAACCATTATTCTCCTCTTATTCTGTATAAGATTCTGAGGATCAAGATATTACCAAAACACCATCTCTGTTCTTGACATATTTATTACTGAAATTATCAAATGTTGTAATTAGGTATGTATAACCTTGTTTGCCCTCAGTGAACTGTGAGCATCTTGAGGAAAGGAGCTGGATCGTATTCACTTTCCTGTCTCCACTGCCAGGCACAATGTCGTGTAGTATATATTAGCGTTTGCTAAATATTTATTGGATGGATGGATAGATGGATGGATGGATGGGAACGTTGTAGTGCCTCCAGCTACAAACGGGGATTTGATTCACGCTATCTACATGGTTCTCGGCATGAGCATACCTGTTAATCCTCTAGGCCTTTATTATCCCACTCTTGCATACAGAGAATTAAGAGATTTTCCAAATCAAGTAATCCAGTTTCTTCAGTTTACAGCTAAGGAAATGAGACTCAGAGAGAGAATCTGACTTATTCCTAGTGCTACATCTAATAAATAAGTATCAGATCTGGGTTAAAATCCAGATCGCTTGCTTTTCGTCAAATATCCACTACATTATGTTGTTTTCCATGACTCATATCTGGAGGCTTCAAGGGACCCTGTGGAGCAATCTGTCACTCCTGGCTTATCTGGGCAACGTGTGAGAAAACCAGATACAGCAAAACTATGCAAAGGAGCCACTGTGGGGCTGAAGAAAGGTAAGAATAAGAACAACTCATTTTTACTCAGGCTGATGTCATCTCATGTGTCCCTCAGAAGATGCCACATTAAACATTCAGTGGGGGGTATCCCATTTCCTCCCTGGTCTCCTAGATTACCTTTGTCGATGGTGCGGTCCAGCCCTGCTCCACTGGCCAAGATTTCTTTTTCACGCAGAGTCCAGACTTTCAAAGCTCTTTCCAGAGAACCTTATGCTTCTCCAGTTGACAGTGAGGGTGAGGTAATGATGCTACCTCTAGATCCGGAGGAAATGCTCCCAGCACGTCACCTCTGGTGGCCTGGGTTTCTGCTTCTCTGATTTATGCCCAGTCACACTGCGTCTAAATGTTTGTGATTGACCTATACTTAAACGAAATGCTGTTCATTAAGAATTTAACGTTTCAGAAGAAACTATTTTAGAATGAACACGTAACAACACAGATGAATCTCAAAATAATTACACTGAGTGAAATAAGCCAGACAAAAAAGAGCACATACTGTATGATTGCATTTATACAAAAGTCTAGAAAATGCAAACTAATCTAGACTAAGAGAAAGCACATCAGTGGTTGCCTGGGGAAGTAGGGAACGAGGAGCAGAGACGGGGTGATGGGAAAGAGGAAGAAGTCAACTTCTGAGGGTGATGAGTACTTTCAACCTCCTGATTATATTGATGGTTTCATGGGTGTATGCATATGTCAAAACATCAAACCGTACAATCTAAATACATGCAATTTATTGTACATCAATTATATCTCAATAAAACTGAAGGTTTTTTTGAGAATGTAAACTTTTCAATGTAACATTCAACCAGAATACTGTCTTAGTCAGAGTTCAATGACAGAAGTGGAAACACTGGAATGTGTATATATATACATACATATCATATACTTATAGGAATTTGACCTTACATAATTGTGGGGTGTGGTTAAGTCATGTCTGTAAAGTTGTTGTCTTCACATCTGAAGCTGGAGCTTGAAGTCCAAGGACAGGCTGTCAGGAAAGAAAGATGGATGTAAAATGAGGAAGAGCCAGCAGAAGCCAGAACCCACAGGTACAAGCTGTGGCTCACAAGGACAGACTGCAACTCCCATCACTTCTAACTGCCCCTGACCTGATTGCGTGGGGGTCCTGCAGGAGCAGGGCCCTTTATCACAGGGCCAAACACACACACCTGGCCCAAGAGTTGGAGGAGCTGGGGAGGTCTGAAGGGGCGAGAGCAGTTACAGGCCCAGCTGCTGCCTGGTGCAGGAGGTGAGACAGCAGAGAAGGGACAACATGCATGAGCTTTGCTTCGCTTCCCCCTCCAAATTTTACACAGGGATGTCTCCCCCAGCCAGCTCTCTCCAGAAGCATACAGGAGAGGGAATTCTGGGAAACAGAGTTCAGGCTGCTCAAGTTCCCTCGTTACAAAGTCACCCTTGCCCACTTGGCACTCATATACATCTCTTAAGTCATACTTCATCTCCACACAAAGGTAACAACAGAGTCGTGGCTCCGCCTAACACCATACATCTCTCCCAGGTGCAGCCCCGCACACATTAACCTCTCCCCAGAAGAGGATCGCAGGTTCTTTCTTTGATTTTGGGTGGTGTCCATTCGTGTTGTAGTCCTAGCTGATTTACTTTCCCCTCTGCTGCCCTATGACTCCTACACTGAGCTGTTAAGTTAACACTATGAACACATTTATGGCAGATGATAAGGGAATGCGAAAGAGGACAAACGTAAAAATAATTTGGTTAAATGCACACATATAAAAATACTTTTATATGCATGTATATATAACTATAACTATATAAAACTATATATGCATACATATATAGTCATATCATAACAAGAAATGAATATAACTATTATAGTACTTATATCTGTAACTAGTCCTGTGGTCATAGCTGAGATTTATAACTACTTCCTTCCACTATCCATTCCATATGCGTTTGTCTTCAGCAAACACTTCAGCTCGTCATGGACCCTTGCCTGGTGGGGTGAACCAAGTCTTCATTCCTGAAGGGTCCAGGCCATTAGCAGTCCTTCAAATTGAGTTGATGTAGCTTAATCATAGGATGTGGGAATTCTGAGAGGCAGCCTCGAGGACTGTTAAGATTGGAAACATATGCCCTTACCTCTTTGTGTAGAAGCAGTCCAGGTTCAATCACTCACTTCTTTGCCTGTTGATTCAGCGGCATGAGTCAAAGTGCCCAGGGACCCTCCAGTTCAATAGAATCATTGCTGGGTTCCCTGGTGGAAGCATTCCTCTGTTTGGAACGAAGACCTCTAGACCAGTAGAACCTAATACCATAGGGATGGGCAGCAAATGTTTAGTACATCACTAGGAATAATAGTGAGAGGAGCTTTTCCCATAACCACCCTTTGTTCCCAGACTCACAAATCCTGGCTATGGGAGAAGCGGAAATGTACATTGAATGATGATTTAGAGCACACTTTTTATCCTGGACAACTGACCACAACCGAGCCTTCAAAAGGCCATTCCAGCATTCTCTCAAGCCAGCTGCTTCAGGGTGATGGGGAACATGGTAAGACCAGTGAACTCCATGAGCCAGTTGCTGTCCCTCATCTGCTGTGAAATAAGTTCCTTGGTCAGCAGTGGTGCTGTGTGACACACCAAGATAGTGAATAAGTCATTTTGTACATGGTTTTGGTGGTGGTTTTGGCAGAAGCACAGTGTGCAGGGAAGGCAAATCTGTATCCAGAGTAGTGTCTCTTCCAGTAAAAACAAAGCGCTGCCCCTTCCCTAAGGGAACAGAGCTGATCCCATAGAATCAACTGCCAATAGGCAGCCAGCTGGAATGGCGCCATGTCAGGGGCTCAGTGTTGACCTCTGCTGTTAGCAGGTTGGGCACTCCACAGCAGCCATAGCCAGCTGGGCTTTGGTAAGTAGAAGCCTGTGTTGCTGAGCCCATGCATAACGTCCGTCTCTGTCACCGTGGCCACTTTATTCATGGGCCAATTTGCCAATGGCAGGGTTTCTGGGGAAAAAGGTTGACTGATGCCCACAAAATGGCTCATCCTATGCAGCTGATTATTAAAATACTCTTCTATTGAGTTTCTTTGGTGAGCATTCTCAGAGAACATAAATATCTTCACACGTCCTGCCTGTTTGGAGAGATCTGTCAACCTACTTCTCCTCCAGAACTTTGCCATCAATTTTTCATCATGTTTCTTCCAAATCTCTCACCTTCCAGGCAAATATTAGCCACAGTCGGTGAATTAGTATAGACCTGTACTTCTGGACATCTCTCTTAAGCAAACTGGACAGCCAGGTGCACTGCTCAAAGTTCTGTGCGCTGGCAGCGTTTCCCTCAGCACTGTCCTTCAGGGCCAGCCCAGAGTGGGCTGTGGTATTTCAGCGGTCCATTTTGGTTTTAGCTGTCTGCTTCTGAGTGACATCAGCCTATTGTGCAGAACCACCTGCAGACGAGGCCTGACTTTTTTCTTCTTCCATCACCCGGGCACAGACAGCTCCTCAAGAGGCCACGGGCGCAGGTTAAGAGAGAGAAGACAAAGGATCAGAAGCAGGGGCTGTGGATGTGCGGGTCACTTACTCATGCAACATACTTGTGTCTTCAGGTTCTGCCCGAAGCCAAGTTCAGGCATACCACTCCCACTTGCGAACGAAGTACTTCTGTGCGTGCTCAACTTTATGGCTCAGTGGATCAGACAACACCTAGTAACAGGTAGCTTGGGTCACAGGGTAACTTGGTGACCCATGACCACGCATTCAATTTTCACTAAAACCCAGTAGCAAAACAAAAGCTATTTCTTAAAAGAAGATGGTAGGGCTTTATTCCAAAATCCTAAGGATCCTCATTGTGAAACTCATTTAAGGGCCTGAAAACGCTCCAAACAGCACCCTGCCTGCGCCTGCCCCTCAAGCACCATCGGATCCATTGGGTCATATGGTCCAAGCAGCAGAGCTGCTTGCATAGCAACTTGGGTTTCTCATAGAGCTTTCTCTTGTTCTGGGCCCCACTCATAATTGGTAGCTTTTGGGGTTATTCATTAAACGGCTCAGAAAGGACCCATTTACTCAACCTGCCTCAGACTGGACCCCTAGACATTTCACTGAGGTTGCAGGCCCCTGATGTTTTATGGGATTTATTTCCCACCCTCCGGAATGCAAATGTCTTAGCACCATGTCGGGAGCAATTAAGTCTTTCTGTTCACCAGGGGCAGGGATCAGAGAGGCAGAAGGAGCACCCAGGGGAAGATGGAGCAGCTGCAAGTCCAGCCACTGTGTCGCATCACTGGGGTGAGCCAGCAGACAGGCAACGGCACGGGCGGGCTAGAATATGGCTGCTGCTTCACTTCCACCCTCCACGTCTCCCACAAGAATGTCTCTGACAGCCCACCTTAACCAGAAATACGCGGGAACAGGAATTCCGGGAAACGCAGCTCATCCGAGGCAAGCCGGCACATCACAAATAAAATTCGCAGTAGGTTACTATAGTGTGGAGGATGCAATTAACAAAGAAATAGATGCCTCTCCTGGCATGATCTTCTTTCCTGAAGCATCCATCTGACAAAATGATGTCCCTCACCTACAAGGCCTTGATTCCTCACAATATATGTGTGTGTTCTGGCCCCGGGGAGATCATCAGAGGAGAGCTGTTTCCAGAATGTATATTATTTTTTAACGAATAAATGCTTAATAGAATGAAAATATATTCACAGTTTGAGCGTATTTATCAATTGCTTTTCCAGAGAGACTAAAATTTGTTTAGGTTTGAGGGGTTTTTTTAATGTTTAGTCTTCAAAGAATTAGAATTTGCTTTTAAGTTACAAAGTGGGCCGCAGGCTGCCAGCAGTGTGATACGCTTTTGCATTGTGCTGAAAAGAAAGCCGCGGAATTTGCTCTCCAGGCTGCTGGAGCGCTGCTCATCTTGGAGCTGGGGAGTGACCCCATGGTTTCAGAATTGCCTGTCCCAGAAGAGCGGGGCCTCCTGATCTGCTCCCTGCAGGCGGCACGCGTGGCCTTTGTGTTCTGAAGTCTGTTGTCGAATGGAGAGCAGATGCTGACTTTAGTCTCTTACTACATGAATCTATGAGCTTCTTTTAGAAAATGGTAAGATGGTTGCTCTGTGCAAGAAAGGAGTGTGTAGGTGTGATGGGTGCCAGGTGGACAAGCTTTGCAGTGACATAAAGGACAGAATTCCCAACAGAAAGCAGCTAAAGGAAGAGACAGTGCAAATGAGACCGGGGGAAAATGGTTTTCAAATCGACGTTTCCTTATCTCAAGCCAATTCGTGACTTCCTGATGAAGACATTTGTTCACCCAACAGTGCTGATGTGTCTAAAAACCCCGTCACAGAATAACAGCTGTCGACACCTGCCTCGGACCCAGGAGGCGGGAGACGCCACGAGTGGGAAAGAGACTTAAGTACACAAACAATGTTACCATTTTAGCCACAAAATTGGTCATTGTGGTTAACTTGCTGAATCGAAGGATTAAAAAAAGAGGAATATGGTGTCTTTGAAATAGTATTGGCTGAATAACCATTTAACAAATATAACTGATTGATTGACTGAGTGAGGAAAGAATCTCATTTGCATTTCATAAGCACATTTGGCAAATATTTGGTTCTACCCCAAAAGAATTCTGATTTTTTTCCCCCACCATTTTGATCCTTGAAGGTTTAAAATCTCAAATAAAGTCGATCCTTGGCATTAGAGCACATTAGGATCACAATGGACAGAGACCCTGAACTAACGAACAAAGGAGGGAGGAACATGGAACAGACTGGAAAGAATTATGGAAACTTTCCACCCATGGACTGGACACACCCTCATGCAAACAAAGCTTTGGGGCTGAGGCTATGTTTTATAAAAATGTGATAAAACCCTTGATAAGGCCTGAGAGGATAAGCAATGGTTGTTTTTTGTTTTAACCCTCCAAAATTCGGTACCACATGCTGAGCAGTTGAAGGGAAAACCTTTTGTCATATGTCTTTCCAAAGATGTATTTCATTTCTGGAGCCCCAGAAGCGTGAGCGGCCGTGTGTCAGCAGCTCTGACCCTGTGTCCGCCCTGGTCCTGACCGTGGCCGTCAGCCCCCGTGGACCAGCCAGCCGTGACGGCAGGAGCTGGGCTGGGCCGTCTCAGGAGTGGCTGTCAGGCAGGTTTGGTCGCTGACACTGGCTCCAGTCCTGCAGTCTGCCCTGCATCCCTCAGGAGGGGAGGGAGCGGCAGCTGCAAATTCCTCTAGAGCTTTCCCCTTGCAGGCATCTCCCAGCGCTGTGTCCTGGGGACCAAATGACCTAGGTCCCCTGAGAACACTTCTCAGTCGTGAATATCTTGCTTCCTTCCCCAACGTCTCTTTGAGCCACTTTGTTAAAAAAAAAAAAAAAGTCTGTAGATTTTTATGATCATGATACTAAAATAAAATTGCTTAAGTTCTGTTGCTTAATACGAAGCACTCAAATAATGTCAAAGGTGGTCTTAAAAGTTCAGCCATGGATAAGCTGCCTTTTTCTTAAAAACGATGTAACCCATCTCCTCCATCTTTTGTTTTTTCTGGTGAGGAAGGTTGGCACAGATGTTAGCTCAGTGACAATCTTCCTCAAGCAAAAGGAGGAAGATTGGCAACAGATGCTAACTCAGGGCCAATCTTTCTCTATTTTGTATGTGGGATGCCGCTATAGCACGGCTTGACGAATGGTATGTGGGTTCCCATTTCCCTCTTGTTCTTGCCCATTGATTGGAGCCCTAGCGTATCACACGATTGGGATATGAGAACTAAATTTGAGATATTACAATTTCATATAACTTCCGTGGATCTCTGTTGTTTTATTTACAAAATTGTTTTTCCTAAAATAATGACTTTTCTACAGAAGCAAAGAATAGAAAAGAGAAAGTGTGATTTTTGTGCTAATCAAAAAAAATATATGGTTGGGGCCAGCCCAGTGACACAGCTCTTAAATTCATGTACTTTGCTTCAGCAGCCTGGGGTTCTCTGGCCTGGGTCCCGGGCGCAGACCTATGCTCTGCTTATCAAGCCATGCTGCGGCAGGCGTCCCACATACACCGTAGAGGAAGATAGGCATGGATGTTAGCTCAGCACCAATCTTCCTCAGCAAAAAAAGAGAAGAGGATTGGTGGCAGATGTTAGCTCAGGGCTAATCTTCCTCAAAAAAAAGGAAAAAAATTTGAGAGGTATCTAATTCGTAGGTTTCCTTATTTCAAGTTACAGAGGAAGTCATCAAACCCAGGTCTTCTGTCAGTAAGTCAAATATTAAGGATTTTACTTTATAGTGATTTCCATTAGCCTCACCACTGAGTCATCTTTAATATGAAATGCCAAGACAAGTCATCCAAAATTTAGGAAAGAAAGAAGTCAGAATTTTAACAAGATGATTCCCTCTATACCATTATTAATATCTGATCATTTCTCTCATTGATGGCATTTGTTTTTAGACTCGAATCTAAGAGTCAACAAAACAACAACAAAGGAAAGGAGAGATGAGGTGGCCATTCAGCTCTGTTTTTCTGGGTGTCTTTGTCGAGCTAAGGGACAGCAGGTGGAGGGGGTGTTAAAGTCCTGACTAGAAACGAGCTGACTAGAAACAGAGGCTTCCCGAGGATGAAGCTCTTATTTAGCTGCCAACCCATGGTTCTGAGACTTGTATGCTGTGCACACAGCTGCATAATTAGTAATCATCATTAATCATGTCTACTTCTGTACATCTATCACCAACAAAATTATAGCAACCTATATTTTTAGTAAACTTTAATTGCAAGTTTAATTTGATAGTTATTTATCACTTTAAGCAGCAGTTTGCTGAACTGATTACACAAATCTAAAATGATGTTTCTGAAGATAGAAATAAAACTTCCCATCAGGAATAAATAAGGTTTTCAAAAGAAGAGTATCTGCCTCTCAGCCAAAAAAAAAAAAGGCAGAAAATCAGGCTTCCAGGCATCTTCTAACTTTAATGTGAAAATGAGCATTCACGTGGGATGGCTTTAGACTACCTGTTGGAAAATGCATATCACGTAACAGATGCATAATTTATGAAACTGATTGCTCTAAGCAGAGAAGCTTAAAAATGAGTATTTGCAACTCAGGTTGTTCTCATGAGACAAACATATATTATTATTCAGAATTGAAAACTCCCCATGAAATATACAACAAAAAGAAAAAGAAGCTCAAAGAAATGTTTGAGAAGTAGAATATTCACGACTCCCAGAAATATTTTCTTGTCTCTTTCTGTAGGAAGAAACCAGATGGTTGTTTACACTCTTGAAAACTCTGTTACATAGGGAGACTCGAACAGCCGAGCTTCTCTCCCGGAACAGGGCACGGACATGCCCACGGTGAGGCACCAGGAGACGGATGTGTCCACCTGAGCTGGGAACCTCCTCTTAGCCAGAATCAAGACCTGAAGGGAGAGTGGCTTATTTCATTTCTGAAACGCAGCCAGTGAGAGACTCAAGAACAAAGTCTGATAATGAAGATGAATAGCATAGAATTGTCACTGTCAGACTTACATTATGTGCTAAAGAACTGGATAATAAAGGGCAAATCCTGTGTTTTCAGCAGCCTGAGGGATGCAAGGAAAGTCTTCTATGAAGGGCTTGTGAAAAGTGTCCTGACCTTGAGTCTGAGACCTGTGAGCACCAAAGTGCTGGGAACGTTCTGAACTGGGCGGAGAAGGACACGGGGAGAGGCGCAGGCTCTGAAGTAGCTGGAGGCCTTCCGGAACACGCAGGAGCTGAAAAAATAAACCACCGAAAAGAGTACAGGCAAATGTCACAGCAGTGACAACTCTACACTCCCCTAAGAACAAGGACTTCCAAGGAGAGAGACGCTGGACCTTTCAAACGCTCTGCAAACAAAGAGCAATGTGTCCTTTGCCAGCACCTTATTTCCTGTTGTTTTGTTTTGTTTGTATTCATTTTAATGTCTTCTTTGAAAGGGATAAATTTTGTCCAATTTAAAAAGAAAGAGGAATGGCCATCAAGCGTAGCGGGAGTGACAGAGCAGCACACTCTGTGAATGAGTTGGCTACTACCTACAAGCAGCAGCAACTTGAAGGAGTCTTAGGAATATCAGATTGAGCAAAAGTAAGGCATAGAAGAATATGTATGGTACAATTTCATCCGTACAAAGGTCAAAGTAGGTAAAATTAAACAATATATTGATAGGAATCCATACAGAGGTGACAAAAGTATAAAGAAGAGCAAGGAACAACTAACATGAAATTCAGGATTACTGTTTCTTCGAGGGAGGGAATAGGAGAGAGGGAATGCGATCAAGGGGGTGGGTGGGTGTCACCAATCCTAGCAATGTTCTATTATTACTCGTGTGGGTGGTGGGTGCCTGAGTGTTCATTTCGTCATTGTTCTTTAAACTGAGTATAAGTGTTATTATACACTCTTGTAAATGTATGGCTTACAAATTTGATTTTTTTAAAAAAGGGATGGGTCCATTTTTATCATTTCGTTTCATTTCTTGAAATTGCAACGTTCCCATCTTCTGAAGGTAGCCCTCACTCCGGGACGCCTATGAAGAAGATGCAAAATTTCCAGACCCCTAGACCATGCTGCCATAGAGCAAAAACTAAACAAATAAAATACAAATCAGAAAAAGATCCCTGGTTGTAGGATTTTTAAAAGGTGGCATCCACATCTTTTGCCTGCCGTGGCCTGATACTTTCACCAGCTCAACCCAACCTTTCTAAGTGATTTTCCAGACATCCCAACGGAGCCTCTTTCCATGTTAAATATGATGCCCTGGGCAAGCCTGACATTTTCCACCTTTGTGCTTTGACGATCTCATTCCACTTACCTGCTTTTCCCACCCTCTTCATGACTGACGATCAGACTTCCACCTCTTCTGGGAAACCACCGTGATAGCCTCCCAAGCTCAGACTGAAGTGCTCTGGCCTTTTCCTGAACTCTTTAACGACTGCCTCTTTAATTCTTCCAGCAGTTAACCTCGTGTGCCTTGGGACACCTGCATTTTCATCAGCCAGATTCCTTTTCCTCCCAGCCCCAGAGCTGGCCTGATTTCCTGTTCTCCCTGGCAGGTAGCTACAGCCATGGATTGTGTTCTGCCCAAAGGGGCGCAGACACCAGGCACAGACAGCTTCTCCAGGCCTGGTCCTAACACCTCCCACGACGTCCTCCACACTCTCTTCCTTCTCCCATCAGAGATTGCTCACAGAGAGGCCAGCGAAGCTCCTCGAAGCTCTAGGAACTTGTGGACTCACGTCAGGGGTCAGCAAACTTTCTGTAAAGGATCACATGATAAATATTTGAGGGTTCTGTGGGTACATAAGGTCTCTGTGCCACTGCTGCTGCTCCCACAACCCTTTAAGAACGTGAATACTTTTGTTAGCTTGCAGAATTGGGCTGGATTTCACTGTGGGCTGTAGTTTGCCAACCCCTCAGCAAGGTGGAAAGAAGCTGGAGTTCAGAATGTTTAGGTGAAGCAGAGCCCTCTCCCCGCTCCACACACCCCCCCCCCCCCACCCTGTCTCCACCGCTGGCTCACCCGGCTTATGATTTATGATGGGATCCTTTTCGCTGGGTTTCGCTTTCTCTGAACTACAGCTATGGGCCTTTCTGTGGCCAAAGGCAGTCGAGAGATAACTATCCAGTGAATCTCAACCAGGTAGACTTCCAATTTCAAGAAGTTGGGGTCCACTCACCCCAATTCGTCTTCTTTACTAAAATGTTGCTTACACTAGAAATATCTCATTTCTGCTCTGCTTTGTGTAGTCATTGTCTTGGGAACCGTCATGATCAAACCAATCTGCTGAGGTCCGAGGGGCCAGCTTTAAAACCACAGCTTTAAAATCCAGCCGGAGAAGTTCCCAAGTGGGAGGGAGAATCTGGAAGAGTAAACACAGAAAGAAGATGTGTGCTTCCCCACATGAATGAGTCTGCAAAGCGTATGGAAGCTTCAGGTGTCCCTGACTATAGTAGTGATGCTTTCCTCAGGCCCCACAGCCTGCCCCCTCCTCGTCTCCACTTTTCTGAAATTACCCACATCTGTGAAGTGTTGTCTCTTTTTATATTCTCAGTCCCTACTGCTGCACAGAACTCACTAGAATCGACATGCCCAGGCAGCCTTTGGTAGCAAGTCGGAGCAGCATAATGAAAGGTTTGAGGAGGAACACACCCCACGGCAGCCTCTGCTCAGACACCTGCCAAGACGGTGCGGTTCTCCTGTGAGCAGAGTGCTCCCTCACCTGTACCGACAAGTCGGTCCCTACGACAGTGGAGTGCATTTGCTTGACACTGAGTAAGTTGCTATTTCCTTTCCTACGCTGACATTTGTTCTGTTCCTTGAAGCTGCAAACTACCTTGAGGGCAATTTTTCCTTTCTGTATTCACTCAGTCTTCACTTACTCGTGTGCAAAACTGGAGAGGCAGGTAGGAACACCACCAGCAAGAAAAAGCCAGCAGACTCTTGTGCCTGTTCTTGTCACGTGCTTCTAGAACGGAAGGAGTGCGGTGTCTTTCTGATGGTGGTATAAAAGGTAGAAGAGAAAATGATAGCTTTTCTACAGTTGGTTTAGAAAAAGGGTCAGCCTCCTTGATGGCTGGGGTTCCCATCTTCGTATCTCTGAAGTCATATTCATACGCATACCCTTTCACTGGAGTAGACCCTGGAATAGGGTCTACTATTTTAGGCAACCACAGACACTGGACTCTGAAAGGCTTATTTATATGTGAGCTTCAACTCTACCAACCCCGTTGATTAACGGGGCTACTATTAGTAAAGTATCCATAGCTTATTTGTTAACTCTTCCAGGGGATCAGCATTTCCCTCAGACCTCTGGAAACGATCACTGTGGGCCTTTAAGAAGCAATAGAAAACCCGACTGAATGAAAACTGACCTCCTTTCTGGCTGCCCTGATGGACCATGCCTTCTCAGTGCCTGTCCCCAGGGCTAGGACAGGGATGCCCCAGCCTGAGTCTAACGCCTCCAGGAACCACAGGCAGGCTGATGGAGGGTGGAGAGAGCGCAAGGACTGGGTGTCACCGTCCCATCGTGAGTGAAGGCTGGTCTGGTTGTTTAGGTTAGTCTCGAATGATCCGACGGGAGAGAGTAGGCTCGACTTTGTGTTTAATCTCCTGATGTCTTTCTTCTAATGCAATTATTTGAAATATAACTCAACAGAAAAGAGAAACCTCCTATAAGTTTCTTGAAATGTTTATTTCATATGGAGGTTTTTGCTTATTTGGTTAATTTTTAAGGATTTATAGCATGATATTTTCTTCCCCCCAAAAATGGATGAAAAGACGGTCGGTTTTAAATTTTGAGTATCTTAAGAGAGGACTTGGCCTTTGTTAAATTTTGTTTGAGAAAATTCATAGAAAGTTCCTGTGAGGCAACTGTATTCTTAGACAGCTCCTTATTTAGGATTCAATTGGGTCATTTCTGAGGTTATTCTGGGAACTGGGTGCATTTGTTCTCTCGCTGAATCACAGATTCTGACATTATTTTACAAGTTCTTGGCCTTTTTCTGAAAACTGACAGGCATATGGAAAAGTTAATAATTCAGTGAGTAAAATATGCTTATGTCTGCAAACAGCAAAAAGGAAAAAATGTGTCTTATTTTTACTGTGACTCTTCCTAAAAGTATTAAAAATGCAAATCCAGATGCGACATAGGAAAGGTGCAAACGATTCTGACCTGAGTCTTTTCTGTCATACAGTGCTTTCATTTTCCTTGAAATGAAACGACCTACAGCCCAGCTTAGATCAACACTATATCCAATAGGATTGAACCTACAGAATTAAAAAAGGAAGAGAGTTCTTAGAAAAATGTGGCTTCTGTGAAATACAGCTAGATTTCATCAAAATGGCTGTTTCTACATTATTTGTTTAATTTAGAGATAAACTTGAGGATGATTTCTTATAAATGACACTAATATCTTGTATGAACGCATAGATGCAAATCAGATCAGATATCTTTTAAGGAGATATGAGTAGGACTTATCTAGGCACTAAAAATTTCCCTTTTTTAAAATAATTCTTTGCAATGATATTTTAGTTATATTTGGAAAGTAGCTGTCAAACTATAAAAATAACCTCATAGTCCATAAAAGGATACGACATCTTCAAACTAAAGATGAGTACTCTTTTTTAGAGCATGAGAAGTCCCATTGCTTGGGTTGCTATTCCCTCTGTCCATGGGTTTACAGAAAATGACCTACTAGGAGCTCAAATTTGGGTGGATAATTTGTGAAGTATCGCACAAATTCATGGAAAGAAAGGAAAGCCTTTGTGCAGCCAGATGTTGCTGTGCGCAGTGGCACAGGGACAAACTCTTTCCTCCTGGGAGCTTTGGTTTTCTTTGCCTGGAATCCTCTGTTCTCCATCTTGCACGGCAGCCTCCTTCTTGCCTTGGGATCTCAGCTTGAAGGTCACCCTAGCGCGATCGTTCTGACCACCCAGTCTACTCAGTGCCCTGTTATCACCACGTTTATCACTAATTGATACTCTTGGATTTTGTTTGTTTAGTGTCCATCTCCTTGCACATGGAGGGCATGAACTTTGTCTTATTCTTGCTGTAATCCCAGCCTTGGGAACGGTGTGTAGCAAGTATTATGAGTTGAATTGTGTCCCCTCAAAAGATATGCCGACAACCTAACCTCCCATAGCCCAGAATGACCTTATTTGGAATGACCTTACTTGGAATATAACCATTGCTAATGTAATTAATTAAGATAAGGTCATATGGAGTAGGGTGGGCCTTTAGTCCCAAAAGACTGTTGTTCCATAAGAAGAGAGAGAGACACGCAGAGAATGGATGTGAAGACACAGACGCACGGAGAAGATGGCTACGTAAAGGGAGAGGCAGAGTTTGGAGTTATGTTGCCCCAAGCCGAGGAGCGCCTGGGGAACAGAAACGGGAAGAGGCAAGGAAGGCCCCCCCCCCCCCCCCCCCCCCCCCCCCCCCCCCGGAGATTTCGGAAGCAGCAAGGCCACCCTGCAACACCTCAATTCTCTTTCAAATGCTGAGGGCTGACATGCCATCCTCTCAACCAGTGGTCAGATATCTGCCTTGCAAATGAAACTAATGGAAAATAGGATTTTTGTAATAAAAACCTGCTGTCTAGTAAGTGGGCTGAAACATATCATTCTATTGCAGTTCAGTTTGGCTTGAAATAATATTGCTATAATTTCATCAGAAATACGTGTAGGAAAGAAGATTTTTACCATAATTTTGTGCTCATTGTTACTGTAAACTTGCAAGTTTTGGCTAGCATCGTTCAATAATTTAAACATCATTATTATATATTTGTTTTCTTTTTTTGCAGCAATAAGAGCACACCTTTGGGGAACTGCATGGATCTGATCGTTGAATCGAAGCCAACTCCATCCTGAAGGAGAAATTTTCCTCCTCCGTCCAGGTGGACAATTCACGGGCAGAGTGAATCAGTGTCAAAGTGATGAGGAAAATATTCTGGGTTATTAGTTTCCAAGATCTGCATGATCAAAATGAAAATAACTCAAAAACACAAATTCAAAACATATTCATTATTAAAACTGATTTTTAATGATTTCTTTTTTAAAAATCTCAAATCACTTGAAAGCAAATCATATACATGTATGTACGTATACACTTGAGTGCGTGTGTGAAATCATTACCATTTGGGAACGGAACATTTTTATTATGAGATCCTTTGGAAAGCTACTCTAGCAACTCCCTCCATTTGTACCAAATATCTCTTGATAAATCGGTGGTGAGCATCTTCACTTACTCCTTGGTGCTATAGCAACAGTTTCTTTAGGAGACATATTGTCCTAGAAGTACAGTTTTCTCTGCCTCATTTGGACACGGCACATAGATTTAAGCACAAAGAGACAAATGGATGTACTGGAAACAAAGAGCAGACTTCACGGGGAGTCGTACGCAGGGTCTGAGAGTGTTTCCTGTCTCGCAGGAAGCATTCACATCATGACTTGTCGTCTATACTGTCTGGCCCAGTGTCTCCTAACTTCCTGGAATAAAACCAAACCAAGCAAAACAATAAAAATGACAATTTTTCTGTGTTTTGGAATTCCAAACTCTTATTACTGGAATACTAAATCTTTCCACCCTACTGGCTGTCGTGCTTTCAAAATTAACAGGGCTTTTTACGGTTTGTTTTTCAAAAATATAATGTTCCTGTATATATCCCATATATTATAACAATTTATTTTAAGTGTTATTCTTAAATTCTGCTAATGCTTGTACAAAGATCAAAATATTGACTTATTATTCAAGTTAACTTTTCTTTTCACTTTTGTAAATGGCTTGAACAAAATTCATCCTCCCTTAAATAGTACGAATTGAGTTTTAGATATAGGCAAATGGGAGGGAAAAAGTACTATCAAAACAATCCTTAGTTTGTTCCGTGAATTTACCATTCCTGCCCTCCAAATGGACTTGTGGGTCCAACGGTTTCCAAATTTGATACCTAAGTTTCAACTTTGTCTTTATAAGAAACCATCCCGTCTAGAGCTGGGGCTGTGTTTTATCAGCACCATCACCACCAACCATGTCACCATCGCTACTCTTCAATTTGTAGAAAATCCAGCAATCTCTGCCAAGTTTGCGAGATACCAAAAGTGCATTGATTGTTTTCATGAGAAAACAATGAATTTTAGGGATGAATTTTAGGGATTCGTGTCACGTGTAAGGGCAGCTTCTGTCATAAGCTTCCACATCACATAGATAAATAGAATGGTGGAAGTTCAGAGGACTGGAGGAATCAGTGAAATCTGTGCTTCTCAAAGCAAGTTGAGCGGTCTCTTGGGACTATGCAGCCATGAGTCAGGTAAAGGGACACACGAGAACTGCAGGACGGGTAAGGGGCTTAGTGAAAAGGTGCGTTCATTGGGATTGGAAGCTGAGATTATAATATTACATAAAACATATGTCTTCATCATTCTATCACTCCCTTTTGCATCATTTAAGTTGAACATTCTCTCTTTTCTAGATTTTGGAGAGTGCTATCTTTTTGGACAATGAGTGTGATTGCTAGCAGTTACTGTATTTTAAGACAAGTTAAAAACGTTGTTTTACATCTAAAAGGAGCTGCAGGATGAGGTGTGGTGGGCGTGAGTGTGTGAAGGAGAGGGCTTTGGCTGGTAAAGAATTTAGTATCTATTTTTAAAATAAACAGATTATGGAAGCAAATGCAAAATTTTCATAAAATTTTAGGAGAAAAATTTTTTAAAGTCATTCTCTGTTTGGAGCAAGCATTCAAAGAGTGTCCAAATTCATTTAGTACAAATTCAGGAGAAACATTTCAGATTTACCTAATCCAGTGTTTTTATTATGCCCATGAGGGAGTAAAAGTGATGGACCAAGCCATTCGAATCCAGATTTTCTGACTGCCGGGCCTGAGCTCAGTGTCATAGCTCTTTGAGGCAAGAGGAAATGCAGAATTAACGTCAACTGAGTTTTGTCCACAGGCCACACATGATGATACTTGCCGGGCACTGTCATGGTTGCAAGCTGTGGTTAAGGGTTAGGCTCCCGGTCAGACTTCCTCAGTGGGAAATTGGTTCCACCTCTTACTCCCTGTGTGACTTTGGACGGGTCACTTAAGTTCTCTGATTCCTAGTTTCTTCATCTGCAAAATGAGGATCATAAATGAAACTCACTCTCTGATAAGGATTAAATAAGATAATTCTTGCAAAGGATTTAACAGTGCTTGATGCATAAACGTTGACTAAATGAATTTTGTATTCAAAAAAGAAAGAAAAAAACCTTGCAAGTCATAGGGGTGGGGAGGATGAAGTGGGATTTTACGTGCATTTCACAAATGAGAAAAATCAGGGTTGAGTAAAAGTCAGTAACTTGCCGAGAAGTTGCAAAACCAGAATGTGAAGTTGTATCTGTCTGAACCGGAAGTTGAGGCTGCGTCTGCTGCGCCATCTTGCCTTCTGAGAGGAGCAGGGAGCTGGCAAGAGCACGGGGACCATCGACTTTGAGAGCTGGCCGCTGTGCTCATGCTGAGCCCTGAAAGCTTCTGGCAGCTTCCCAGCAATTCTGGAAATCCGAAAAGCTCTGAACAGGATGCAGCCCAGGTGGCAGAAGGCAATGGGAATATTCAGGTGCAAATATCACTCAAAGGTGAAACCTGGAATGTGAGCTTGGCTTCGTTTAGCTAGTTCCCATTCGTTCTCAAGGACAGGCGCTGTGTCCTCTCTTTCTGCAGAACTGACTCACCCATGCCCATTGCTTTAAGAACTCACTCTGGGCTAGCTCTGCCAATCAAGTGACCTTGGGCGGGTCACCTACCTCTTCAAGGCTTGATTAGGACAGAGCCTCAGGCCACACACCCGACCAGCGTATTCAGATTCTTACAGAGTGATACCCTGAAATATCTATTTTTTTATCTCAACTTTTCACCGAAGTAAACCTTAAGGCAGAAACAAATCTACCAATCCTATAAGTGTACAGTTCAATTAATTTTCACAAAATAAACACAGTCTCAAATCAAGTAATAGAGAAGCCCAGTCCAGAAGACCCCCAGTTAGACCTCCTCCTTGTCAGCACTCTTCCAAGATAACCACTGTATTCTGACTTCCAACATTATTGCTTATTTGGCCTATTTATGAAATGTATCTAAATGGAATTACACAGTGTGTGGCTCCATTTGTGCCACACAAGAAGTGGGCTTCTCTCACTCAACAGTGTGTTTGTGAAATTCATCCATGTTATTGCATGTGGTTATAGATTGTTCATTTTCATTGCTGTGTAGTAGGGGGTCAGCCTCCTATTTTGTAAATAAAGTTTTATTGAAGCCCTGCCAGGCTGATTCATTCCTGTCTACAGCTGCTTTCACTCTGCAACGGCAGAGTTTAGTCGCAGCAGAGACTGTATGGCTGCCAAAGGTGAAAATATTTACCATCTGGCACTTTCCAGAAAGAAGTTTGCTGACCTCCAAATCTATAGTCTCTGATCACGTATACCAACAGTTCTTTATCCGTTCTACTCTCCACAGACATTTGGATTGCTTCTACTTTTGAGTTATTTCATATAGTGCTGCCTTGAACTTTCTTGTACGTGTCTTTTGGTGACATATGTACACATCCTATTGGGTGTATGGAGTGTGTATTTTTTTTTAAATCTCTGACTGATTCTAACATACAGACGGGTTTGGAAACCTCTGCATTAGAACTGTAATCTAACCCAAAGTGTTTAAATTCTCTGGTCCAAGGTCACGCAGAAGATCACTGGCAGAGCTGAGATTGATAACCAAACCCCTGTTTCTTGGAACAGTTCTGTTTTCCGCTGTAGTTCCTGTAGTCATTATCTTTAGAACATTAACTTAGAAGGGTTTTTACTTATCCAAGGTCTTTCACAAACATGACTCTTTTCTACCATATCTGGTTGTGCATTTTCAAGAACAGGAAACTCACTGCCTTAGGAGAATTTTAGAGAAGGAAGGGATTATATAAATCACTTAACCCAAACCCTTCATTTTATAAATTAGTAAATCGAGGTTCAGAGATACCAATGATTTTCCCACAATAAGCATTTTGAGTCTTGACTTTTATCATGTACTACAAAACGATTTTGAACCTGCTGGTTTTGTCTTTGCATTTGGTACTATTTCAGTCAATTAGCTGACCAAAGTAAGACCTATTCATTTGAACTATGTAATCATTACAGAAATGTCTAAAGTAAGACAAACAGTTTCTTCTTCCCCTTCCAACTGTATAGCTGGTCTCCCCTAGGCAACCACTCTTAACATTTTGTTTTTCGATCATCCGTATGTAAATACGTAAAAATACAGGTAACGGGTATGAGTCCACAACTTTGATGAGGAAGAAATATTACTTAATTTTTCTTTCACTCAAATTAATTTCTCCTTGAGGCTCCCCGCCATCAGGCAGGCGGCTCCTCACTCTCAGTGAATTTGGAACTCCCTCCCTTTCTCTATAGTTGTGCCTGTAGGTCAGCGGGGGTGTGTGGTACCAAGAATTCAGTGGGAGGTACAGCATGGGCAGCATCTGATCCTTGGTGACCATGGTGATACTGAGACATCTTTCATCCTCTCTGGGCCCTGGCCACTGGTCCCCACAGATGCATTGGCCACTGTTGTCAGACCCTGTCAGGTGTGGTGGCATCTGTGCCTGAGCCACAGCGATCTCTGCCAGGCTGCCTGAGGCCCTTCCTGCCCTGCTCATTCCAGCCATTTCCTCTGTGGGCTCCTGCCAGCTTCCTTGGCCTCCCTAGAAATTGAGGCCCAGCTTTCCTCTGGCCTTAGGTCCCACTAGCCTTGCTGGAGTTTTCCAGTTGCCCAGGTTCTATCTGTGGCTTTTGGCATCAAGCGCCTTTCTTCCAGGCTCACTTCCAACACTCACTCTTTCCTTCCAACACGCTCTCATCTCTCCCCACAGTGGGAGTGTCTCCTGTCCAACCTTCAACAAGCCTCCTCGTACACGTGTTTCCTATGCTTGGATTTTTATTTCTGTCAGGATTTTTTTCCAGTCAGGCAGTGGGGAGATCCCTCTTTTCTCAAACCCTCAAACATTCGCAAGTTTGACTTTTTTGGAAACCAGTTGCTAGGGTGGTGCTTTTTTCCAAAGCTCACTGGGAACATTACATTCAGAGCAGCCCAGGGGCTCAACTGGGGGTAAGGGGAGAGAGAGGTAACGGTGGCCTACTGGAAGGAAAAAAACGTGGTTAATATTCAAATTATTATCCTGCCACAAAAATGGGCACATCAGAAGGGTAATTATTTAGTCTTGTTTTTATTCCAGAATCAGGTCATACAATATATAAACTGTAGCTCTCATTTTCACTTAACATATGGGACAAATACCTGCACACAGATATGCCTCATTATTTGTAATGGTTTCATAGTACAATTTGTTCAATTATTTTCTTGTTGATGGATAGCTAGGTTGTTTGTGTTATTACAAATAATTATAATAATAACCAATGTTTACTATGGTCTTAAAATGTAGTAGGCAATGTTCTAAGCACTTTACATGCATTATTTCATTTAATCTTCATAAAACTCCGTGAGATAGATATTATTGCTTTGCTTTCTTTCTACAGATGAGAAAATTGAGGCCCATAAGGATTAAATAGCTTACTCAAGGTCGTAGTATGGAATGGATTTGAATCCCAGCGAGTCTATGTGTAGTGGCCGTGCTCTAACCATTACACAGCTCTGCCTCCTCCTTTCCTGAGGGTACTCGTACACTCGCTTATATACTTCATTTTTATTGCTGTCGGATCACCCCAGAACTGAGGTTGTAGGGAAAGTATTTGTGCATTTTTGTATTCTGACAGATACTGGGAGATTATTTTTGGATTGAAGCAGTTTACGGAACCATCCCTGGTGTTCAACGGGAGCGAGCGCCCCTGAGCCTTCCCAGTGCTGGGTGGCAGGACGCATCTGAAGTTACGTCGTGCTGGTTGGAACCCTGTCTTCCACTCCAGTGATGTCCAGGTGTTTCAGTTTTCACTTCCCTGATGCCTATCGTGGATGTCAAGCACCTTTTCTTATGTTTACTGGCCCTTTGCATTTCCTCTGCTGTCAATCACCTGTCCACACCTGTCACTCTCTAATTAATTTGCAGGAGCTCTTTGCATATTGGGGATATTAAGCCATTGTGTTATATGTGTTGTAAACATTTTCTCTTAGAAGATCACTTATTCTCTGCTTTATACTACATAAAAGTTACACATGTTTATTTAATCAATTCTTCTCATCTTTTCCTTCATAAACTAGCTACATAGTACACTATAAGTAGTTTTTTAAAAAAAGTATATTCAGTTGTAATTTTCCTATCTTGCTAAAGAAAACTTTCCTCATTCCATAGCGACACAAACGTTTTCCTATTTTTTCTTCTAATATCTTTATGACTTTCCTTGTTTTATAGTTAGTTCCTTAACTTTTCTGGAATTTCCTTTTGGATATGTGGTAAGATAGGAGTTGACATTATTTTCTTGCTTATATATAGCTGATTATCTCCAGCCTGTTTGTTATATGCCCTTTGAATTGTATGCTTGACAAATATTATGTATTCTTTCTCAGTGACTTCTGCTCCCAGATATACGTGCGTTGACTTTTGGACCCCATTCTCTCCCACTGATTGATCTGTCTTAATAGCAACACAGTTCTACTTTGATTGCAGTAGTTTGATATCTGGTAAAAACAGTACTGTCCCTACTTCTGAAATGGAACTATAAAGTTCATTAGACACTTTTCTTCTCCAGATAATTAATAATATCTCAGTAGGCCAGGATGCTACCTTCTTATAAATTGGTTTTCTTATGAATGAAGGAATACGACTTTTTAGGCAGATGAAGCTTTTTATGTCCAAGTTACATGATCTGACATCCTTCAAATTTTGTCAAATAATATTATCAATCACTTGACCTTGAATTTGGATTAGAATTAGATTTTTTTTTTCAGCTTTAGACATTGCCTTAAGACAATAGGAAAATTATCCAATAAGAGAAAAAAAACCTAACAAGTTTTATGACTGATAAAGATCATATCTTGTTTGAATAGAAATAATTGAAAAGTTAAATACATTTTTTTGAAAGATTCGGTCTTAGCTAACATCTATTACCAATCTTCCTCTCTCTTTCTTTTTCTTCCTCAAAGCCCCAGCACGTTGCTGTATATTTTATTGTAGGTCCTTCTAGTTCTTCTCTGTGAGCCACTGCCACAGCATGGCCACTGACAGACGGGTGGTGTGGTTCCACATCCGGAAACCAGCCTGGGCCGCCGAAGCGGAACACACTGAACTTTAACCAGCAGGCCACCAGGGCTGGCTAAAAGTTGAACACTTATAATTCTCGTAGTGCAGTGCTCATCTTTGATGTCCCTTCCCCCCAATCTTTATCACTAATTTGCATCCAACTTTAATATTGAAATGTATAAAGATATAGAAAACATCACGTGATTTTTATTCCAAGCTTCATTATGGATGTGAGAGAGCTGGAGTTTAGTATTTTTTTCATACCAACATCTTGACTAATTTTCCACTAAAATCCATGAGTGAGTTGGTTCTTATGACTTTCGACTAGGCTATCCTTGTTTGTAAATGTAGCTACGTGGGTATATTTCTCTGGATACCGTATCTATCTATGTTCAAGTAATGCAAATAGAACACTCTGCGTATGGTCTATTACTACTTTATAATACTGTATTACTATTGTGTATTACTCAGTTATAATCTGGAATTGGCACAACAATGATTCATGTGCTGTAACACCCATTACTGCTTTCTACAAACTTTCAAGAACCTTTTATTTTGGGAAGAATTCTGTCTCAGTATCCATCACAGTGGATTTCTGCCCTCATTTCCTTGTATTTATTCTGGGTGGTGTTTGCACGACGAGGAGGATCTATTTTGGTTGGAGACACTGTTCCCTTCTGAGAGGAGGAAGTGAGAGCTTGGTCTCTGTCTCCAGTTGCAAAGCTGTTGGACAGATCAGACAGGGAGCTCTGTCAGCCAGGCTCCAGGAAGCCTTCCCTCTTCTGATGGGGCAACTAAACAATTGTTGTCATTACAATGGGCCAAATGGAGAAGTATTCTTAGAACAATAAGAAAAGGGAAAGTCGGCCACCAGGCAGGAAAGGCTTTCAAGCAACATCAAACTCAGAGAATGTGAATGTCCTTTAAATGTAAACAGCTTACCACAGCACTTCTCCGAATGACAATACCGGGAGCGTTTGCCATGCGCCAGGCACTTGACACACGCTCTTATCTCTAATCCCATAGCTGCTGTACCAGACAAGCATCTCCCCATCTGACACAGGAAGAAACTGAGGCCAGAGAGGTTGTGATAACCTCTCCATGGCTGGTAAATGTGGGATTCAAACTCAGGCTTGTATAATACAGTTATTACCTGAGATGGCTCATACTCTTATCTACCTCTTTTTTAAATTAAAAAGTAGTTGAAGAGCTTACAGTTCTTAATGAATGAATCTATTATCTCCTTACAAAAAGCACAAGGCAGCAGGCACTGAGGGCTCCATTAATACCCTGAAATATGTTCTTTTTCTGTTGAGTTTCTCTGAATACTACAGAGGCCATGGGAACCTGAAGAAAACTTGCTAAATGCTGTGTGTGATAGCATAACAGCCTCCTTTGTCACATGCATAATTATTGCCCCTGGATCAGTCTCAAACGCTGCCAATGACACATAGGACGAACTCTTATTCAGCATACAGTGACTTCAGCTCTTGGAAACAAGTGTGCAGATTAAAGGTCTAAATTAACAATAACCATCATACTAATGTCAATGGTAGATTACTGGACAAGTGTAACATATGCATCTGAAAAATAATCATCTACTGTTAAACCTTTGGTCTTCTTTCCATTAGAGTTTTAACATTTCATTAAATGTTTCTGTTAAATGCTAGATCAATGAAGCAATTCTTCACCTTAATTGCATATAATTTACAATAGGTGAGAGGAGAAAATAATGGTTCTAAAAGTGAGATGCCCATTGGATTGTTTTTGGATACGCAGGAATTATTGACAAGAACTAGTCAATAATTGACTTAAGCGCTATAATGGACCATGAAAAGTTACCAGTTTTCTAGCTGCTTCAGGTGCAATGACTCAAATAATTTTATAGTTTTTTGCTAACACTTTCTTAGGTTCCACTGGGCCCAACCTGGGCCTACTGTACACCTAGGTGGGCTAAGGGGCTATTTGCGTGGTATTATTTGAAGCTCTTCTTCTCATTGCCTATGGCCACACGCCCTTTCAAGATTTCCTTGTCCTCAACTCTTGCATTGGCCTGCCCCCAGTTTCAGGAATATCCGCTCTGTAGAAGGGAGGGGAAGCCATGCTTCCACTAGCTCTTGTTGATAACACTTTCATGGATGGGTTAGCCACTCTTAGTTACCACCACAGAAAGCAGGATTCTGGGCAAACAAATGGGACAGAGGATAAGGCAGGTATGCTGTGAAGTGAAGTTAGGATGGTGAGAGTGGGATGAACAGCATCTGGAACTCTATTCAGGGCACTGAACACAAGGAAGACGGAGCAAAATGGAGGAAGAATGATAAGAAGAAAGCATTAAAAGAGAAATGGCTCCCCAAAGAAGAGGTAAAGGACTTCCTCATTCTTTTGCCTACGGTCCTCTGAGGTTTGTTGAAACAATCAACCCACAGGACTCCCCAGCGTGGTGGCCATGCCTACAGTCTTCTTGCAAGGGAAATCAGCCCATCCACAGCACACACTGAGGAAAATACTCTGGAAAGTTCCTCAGGCATTGGTGGCTATGTTTCGTTCCACGTCAGCCTGCTTACTGACAAACAGCTGGACCAGAGTGCATACCTAACGCAAAGGTGGCTAATCGAGTCAGACCAGCAGCCTCTCAGGGGATCTGATGCCAAAAGCTCTGCCCTTGAGGAATGATGGTGCTTAACTGGACAATCCAATGCTCTCTCTTGAGACTTCGAACTCACGTTACCTAGTGAAAATCAGCTGGTTGGTAGCAGAAAAATATACATACACAGAGAGATGGAGAGGGAGGCAGAGAGAATACTTGAGAATATGCAAGGGAATAATCCGGTCACTAGAACTGTGTAGAATCCTGACTCATTTTCTAGAACATATACTATTTTCTAGTCTCCATGGGAAACATCTGTTCTTGTGATTCCTGGTTGAGAGGCTTCTTCCAGACTCTGGTTTAGATTCTGAACGTTAGAAGAAGAAAGCTGGTCAGGATTCCTGTTTTTCTTATTTCCACTGGTGTCATTCCACGGAGCACGATGCTCTGGGCCTATCTCTTGACTAACATGAATAAATCACCTCTTTGCGACCTTTAAAGGGGCCACATAAACAATTATCTAAAAATATCATCTGTATTTTTTTTTTATCTAAGATGTCAGTTTACATAAAAGGCTGTTAAATGAGACTTTTCCAGTTGCCTTAGTTCACCTTAAACTCCAATGATGAGAAAAATGGGAGATAAGCGCAACCACATTCTAAGGAGACATGCTAGATAAATCCATGTTAGAAATAGTAAGAGAGCTGAACTAGCTAAACAGCCATATTTGGATTAAGATGTCAGAGGAAAGAATTAGACTAGTAGGAGGTGCTATTGTCCCACCAAGGCACCCCAAGGCAAGTCCAGGGGACCCCCGGGATAATATCTGTATCCGTCAAGGTTCTCTGGTGGTGGGACACCAGGCTAGAGACTCAGGAGAAGTGATGGTGCAGTCCCAGTCTGAAGGCCAGCAGACGGAGACCCAGGAGAGCTAATGGCGCATATGAAGTCCAAAGGCAGCCTTCTGGAGAATTCCCCCTCACTCAGGGAGACTGGTAATTTTGTTCTATTGAGGCCTTCAACTGATTAGATGAAGCCAACCCACATTATGGAGGGTAGGCTGCTTACTCAGAGTTCACCGATTTAAATGTTCATCTAATCCAAAAACACTCTCTAAGCTGACACATCAAATTAACCACCACAATAGCCTATAAAGACGGTGGGGGATCTACAGCAAGGGGAGACAAGCTTGCATCCCCACAGCTGGTGGGTACTTGCTGAGCTGCAGAAGCTTCCACTGCCATGATGGAGCAGGGCTAGAGAATCCTTGGGACAGCTTGACACGATCTCCTGTGTTTGAGGTCATTGCAAGCTTGGAGATTGGTACTGCCTCCTGTGTCAGGGATTCTGGATGAGAACAGCTGAAGGAAAGCAGCCTTGGGGCAGCCTGTATTCGGACCACTTGCAGGACAGAAATAGTCTTGCAAGAGATGATTGCTTCCATCATATTCCCTCTTGTTCATCATTCACGCTGTAAGTGATCTTTCTAAATCACAAATGTAATCTTGTTATTCCCCTACTTGTCTGTGGCTCCTGGATGTCCGCAGAATAGGACACTAACTCCTGCAAGCGGCTCATGAGCCCTCCATGATCTGTACTTCCTACCGCTCCAGCCTCACCTCATTTTCTCCTCAGCTTACACCTCCCAGCCCACTGTGCCAGCAACATCCCTCCGCTGTCTGCTTGGTGAGTGCTGATGCCTATGTGGAGACTCAACTTGCATCACTTGTCCCAAACCTTGACTCATCTCCCCCAGGTTGAGGAGTCCACTCCCTTTGTTATGTCACGCTTTCACCATAGAACCCATAACACTCTTCTGCATGAATTTATTTACCTTAGCACCTTTTCCCTTGAGATTGTAAGTTACTTCAAGTCAGAGAACTCTGATTTATCCATGTTCCCAGCACCTAGCTCAGGGCCAGGACACAGGAAATGCTAAATTGATGTCAGCTGCGTAAATGAATTGCTAAAATATCTAGAAAGAAAGAAATTTTAAGTATTTGCAGAAATATCTGGGAAGAAAGGAATTTCAAGACTTCTCAGTATTTTGATATTTTCCTCTTTTTATTTCTTCTCCTTCCCAGTTTTTAACTTTTATTTTCCTGTAGTTAAAAGCAGCAGTTCTCAAAGTGTGGTCTACAGACTTCTAGAAGTCTCCAAGATCCTATCAGAGAGTCAAAAGTATTGACCTATGAGGTCAAAAGTATTTTCAT